GCTTCAGTCTAAATACGTCACAAACCTACAACCAATCACGTAGAAGTGAGCCGGCAACCTTGTGCGAGGATCTGACGTTTGTCGGATTTGACGTTTAACTGCATCTAACGCGTAAGAGAACGACAAGTGGCAAGTGCCTTTGACAGGTGACGCAAGTTACAAATGACATCTCCTGCAATATTGCCAATTCGTTGTCATTTGAATGGTTCTAGGAGCTGATTGGTCAGGCTTATTACGTCACAGAGCCCGCCACAATCATATCGTTTTGAATAAACCCTTAAAACCGCACATGTTCATTATTTTTTTGCTAATCAGCCTCTATTTTTAAATAAACTCTTACTGTCCAAAAAAATGTTTTTTGGTTTCAGGTACACGCTTATTAAATTAGAACTACGGAATTCAACTATACTGTAAACCCCCACTATTGCGCTATTTGATTGTTTGTTATTTACATACCTATACTATACTATACTATACTATACTATACTATACTATACTATACTATTTATCCAACCGTAATAGTTAAACTCCGTTCAAAAAAAATTGAAGACCGTGCAACGTTTATAGTCCCTGCGCTACACATCGTGCCATTAAAATCCCCGTGCTTTAAAGACTTGAATATACACTTCTCTCGTAATATACTATTTTACATAACTATCTAAAATGTAAAATGTTGACCAACTGATTCTGCTCACTACAACTTCGTAGTACCTATAATTAAGACCGCTATCAAACCTAAAATTTTTGCACCGAGTACAATTTTCACGGATGAGCCTGAACGGATGTTACTCAGAGTATAGATATCGCTGTTTTAGTGGAGTTTAGTTTCAGGTTATTGGCTAATAACCACTTGGGAATTGCCCTAATAGCTTCGTTGGACAAAAGCCAAGTTGATATATTCTTATTAGCTGACACTAAAGTCCACATAAAGCAAACAAGAAACTTCGGATGGAACTCGTTTAAACAAGGAACTTTTCTTAAATGTATACACATGGGCTATGTATACTTAAAAAAACGGATCAAATGTATGGAATCAGAATACTTAGTTATCACGGCATGGAATAGATGACTGTAGGCAGATCGGCAGGCAGCCAACATTACACGCAAAAAACTTATACATTTGTTTCCTTTGTGTACTGTACTATTCTTTAACCCTGGTGGTCTATATCTTTCATGTTTTTAAAGTCTCCAATTGATAACTACAAATTTAACTGGCCGATGTTCGTTTTGATTAAAAATTAAAATGTATTCACTATTATTCAAAGCTCGTTTTTCAAGTGTTTTAGAATGAGTATTCCATTTTTCGCTTTTAATCAAGTAGAAAGGGATTCTTGGCATATTCTGTATACCAAAACATAACACCTAATTTGAAAGCAAATCGCAAATGAAATCCAGTATCAAATGAGAGCAGCGAATTTTCCTCTAATTTGAAAACGGTGTTGGAATGAGTATTATTATAAGATCGATAACAATTAAAAACGTTGCGTTCGTTTTAACATCGAAATACAAAAACAAAATTTAGATAAAAGGTTAAAAAATACGGGTAGAGTGAAAGGGTATCAAAGGAGTTACCTTTGTATTTTCTTTGTGCCTATTCAGAACTTTGCCTAGTGCTTTGTAATGTTGTAAAGTTGGAATAAGTATGAAAATAGTAACGTCGTCGACTAAGTTGCGCCGTAATTTTCCTTTATTACCGATGTATTGTTTAATGCAAGTTATATAGGAATCACACGAGACGTGCTTTATACATTGGTAATATGAGAGCAGAAGTTTCTAACATCTTCTCAGATATTATCATTTTATGTCAACCCATTTACAGGAAATGAATCGGTACGCGATCTTGTTTGCAAGTTTATGGCTCGGCATAGTAATTGCTTCATTACAATAGTTATCCTAGCCACCCGCAAATGTGAATGCGGCTTGAGAAATAGACCATCAAAACTTGTTTGTTAACTGTAAAGTTGTATTTCAAGGGGTCGACTAGTACTGCTGAAATTTGGACCTGATAAATTACGTCAAATCACGGACGCAAACTTTTAATTACCGGCTCGATTTTTATCTACCTTTCCCGTGAATACGTTTATATACCGAATGTTAACGGCGCCATCCTGCACAAAACAAACTAGAATGTGCCAGGAAATTGTTTTTAGGTAATGATATTTTCTATTTCTAAATATACCTGCCAGGAAATTTTATGCCATAGTTTTTAGGAAACACCTACATAAGGAATATTGCTAAGATGAATATTTCTGTATAAAATTAGTAAGGAAAATTCGCAAGAAAAATTCATATCAAATTTAATATTTCCTTTAACATTGCGAGGACATGAACAGCTCCCAATATTCCTATTCACTAAACCGGATTTGCTGCCTTCGAATTTGTACACGTTAGCATTCTGTTGAAGCTTTCCATTTGAATAGATTCGAGAGATATTTCTCAATGAAACAGATCTATATCCATCTTGGTCTATTGTATGAAAATTGATCCTTCTTTGCGGTATGAATGGAGCTTTAAATATAACTATATCGACCATTAAAACTTTATTAATACCGACCACACATGACAGTCTATCAACTGTTCTTAGCCTTTTCTATAACGCGAATCTCTTGCCATGTTTAACCACGTCACGCATCGAAATGCTATTATTTGGTACGTGCCGATTTGTCATAGACTCATAGACTTCCAATTGTCATAGATACTTTTTTAAATGCCTTTTTGAGATGTCGCCAATTTTGGCCCACAGTTTAAACATAATTCTACAATTAGACATTAGGATACACGTTTCACGCTCTGGGGTCGATCAGAGCACCTTCATATACAACACAGGTAGCTGGTAGGTCACGGGAGAAAGGAATATGGCAACTGTATAAAAAGGTTATTAGTACCTAGGTCAAATATATCCTTATCGTTCGTCGCTAACACGGAAATTATATTAACATCAAACACATCATCATTCATCAAGTATGATCAGCATTACGCAAACAATTAAAATATATATGGTTAACCAGAGCTGGGTAAAGTAGAATGCCCTTTTTATTTTCTATTTAAAATACAAAATAAGAAATGCTAATTTATTTTAAATACAAGATACTAAATAGGTTTTGTATTTCTATTTAAAATACCAGAAAATGCTCATTACTTTCATAATGGACCCTGTATATTTATTGAAGAGTCGGGAACACTAACCTATCCTAAAAAATTTTAATAAACGCGGTTGTTCTCTTTTAGTTGCCGTACTACGTCAGAATTTTTGATGAAGTAATTCACTCGATAATTAAAACTTACTGTGTCATAAACTTTTAAATTTGGACCGACATACGTTTTTTTACACAACTTGGTAACGGGGAATGGGTTTCATAATTTGCATTATTATTCTGTTAATGAACACAAATGCATGGTATGTTGTCGGCTCAGTTATTACGAACAGGTACAGCAACCCTTATATTACTTTAGATAATACACGCGTTGAAACAAATCTACTTCTCAGTAATAACGCGAACAAAGAAAAACGTGTTTGGAATTGTTTCTTTTTTATAGTCGGAAATAGTTAATATTACAACACCGAGTCGAAGAAAATACAAGTACTACGGCATCGTAAGGCGTATCTGAATTAAAACAAGTTTCCTCAAAGATAAAAAAGGCAATGAATTTGTCCATAAATTGGGTTTTAAAAGCGTTTATACTAAAGAAAGCGCTAGCTTAAAAAAGGCCCCCAAGTATTTCTTTATTATGTAATTAAATCCACGACGAGACGAAGGGCTAATGAATTTTCTTTTTATAGTAGCTACGAAAACTTCAATGGTGTTGTGCATGGCATAATAAAAGCGATAATTGTCCATAAAGTTTACAATTGGCACAGTACAATGTTTGAATTGAATTTAAGCGTTCTTAGTTATAATGTAACTATAACGTAATTACACCGTTATACAAAGTTTCTTTACCTCTTTTTAGAGTTTGTCACGTACTTTTTTATTTTTGGTTGCTTGCGACGAAGAAAAACTTAATCCTAACTAAAACGTCAAGTACTTGGTATAAAATATTATCTCAATAAATATGAAAGAAGTTCACTGCTTTGCTGAATTTTATTTTGTCTAACTTTCTGAAACTAGTTTTCAATTTTGTTTGCGACAAAACTACTGTTCGAGACGATCAAGAGTATTGAATACATCAAGTACTTTAAATGTTATACTACAACTTCAAGTGTACTTGTCTATGTATTTCGTGCTAAGAAATTTGAAATAGATGATTATTTTCGCACCAATAGCGGAACTCTCCTCAAAATCGGAAGGAGTTCAAAGCACAAGGCACGTACAGGTTGATAGTTGCTTGATCAGTAAAATTATCGAAGCGAGTCTAAAGACAATTGTAACTAATTGCTACAATCGGAAATATTTTTCACGTTTTCCCAACAG